ACTAAAGTCACTTAGTTCTTACAGAGATATGAGAGAAACAATATACAACGTTAGAGCAGAAGGACGGTTTCGTGTTTCAAGGAGGAACGACCGAGAGGTCAGAGTATGCGAGTCGAAAAGTGAGTGTGTTGCGAGAATCAGAGTTGAATCAGAAAAATCTTTAAATATTTCGTTTAGAAACTGTTTAAAAATTGTTCATACTAATAAATATATTTCTCTTAACAAGTGCTTCCCTCTAAAAAAAAGGACTTAAATTTTATCTCATGTCTTATCAATGACAATTATAGTGTCATTAAAATTATCTTCACCTATTACAATGTTCTGTACCTAATGCGATGTTCGTAGTGCACCTCTCGTTCTCATCTTCCTTTTCATTCGTCATGTCTGCCTTTACATCACAGAATCGCTTCAAAGTCGTTTGTTTCCGCGTGCTTTTCTCATCAGCTGTTAAATCAACGAAAATAGGCGTCTGTTTTTCCCTTGTATTGGAAATTATACTTTCTTCCGACGCGCAATCAAAATCATTTTCTTCGACCGCGCTATCGAACTTTTTCAAAACCTTCTTGCTTCCTCTCGAAGTCTCGCTCACTTTAAGACTTCCTTGAATTTCGCTGGAGCTACTGATCAAACAAACATCCAGTTCCTCCTTGAAATTCGTGGCATTTTCATTACAATATAAATGTTCCACGTGACAGGCATCTTTTTCTTCCGTTCCTTGCAGCTCGCTCGAAGATTCTTCAATAAACGACAAACTTGGAGATCCAGAGGAATCTTTGATCTTCTTGTTAATGATACTGTCGCGAGATATCATTACCTTCGGCCTGAATGGTTTAAACGTTGGTTTCTGCTTCTTCGAGCTTTCTCTCTGTTTTTTCTGCGAATCACTCGATTTACAACTACTAAGTTCTTCCATTTTTTCTTTCTCTTCCAGCGTAACTGGTGGAGGTAGTAATGGTTTGTCCAGAGACAGCGTGAGAAGAGGGATAGGTTCTTCGTATCGATTTAAGTCGATGCGAAGCAAATTGATGGTTGCTTTTCAAATATATTTGAGTTTGGTTTTTGGATATGGATATTTTATGGATTAAGTGACATTTGATATTCTTAGAATTTGTTTTACGGTTTTGTGTGTGTGTGTTTATTATTATAGGCATAAGAAGCGCGATAGAAAGTGAAACAATAAAATAAAATAGTTAACAAAAATTCAGAATGAAATTTTTCTGAGTCAGAACTAAAATTAGTGTGCTATCTTTTATATCATGTAAATTGCACGCATATATTTTTTACATCTAATAAATAGTTTAGGATATCGTAAAAATTTGTCGAGACTTGAAATATGTTTGTAAAGGGACTGTATTTGGAAAATCTGGAATATTTCAATTTCTTTTAAATTTCTCTAAATGTTATGAAGTAACATATATCATATATTTAATGTGTAATATTATAAATACTTCAACAAATTTTGTGCACCATCTTATGACAAATTGTTTTGGAAATTGCGGATTAATTATTTATCACATAAAAGGTATAGAAATTACATAACACTTCATACCTTTACTATACTATATAGAAGTAGATTATACAATATGATGCACATAAAACTCTAGTTAGCTATTACTAAGTTTGTAAAACGTATACTTGCTGATTCGCAGAATTGATTTCGATTTCAGTACTATCCTAATAATACATCTAAAGTAGTTATTGTTTTGAAAATAGTTCATTTTGTGGTTAAAGCATTTATAAGTCTAATATTCCTTAAAAAAATATTTTTTTGGGGGGGAAAAATTGCTTTCTTTTGGCACAGATATATTGGAACAAAACTGCCTTAGTCGCATTAGCATAAAAGTTAAAATATTATTGTTTTAATGTAATACAATAGTATCTACATTCTAAATATAAAAATGTTGTATCCGATTACTTTTATTCAGCATATACTTAATTCTTTACTAGAATCAAACACGTGATTTATTTTACTCGGTCTTTCACTTTATCAAATCGATTATTCATACTTACGATTTTCACCAAATACATGTCATGCAATTGTTAAATATTATGTTTCACCTCCACTGATATACCTATGAAGATATACAAATCTTTTATAGACACGCACACACAAATATTGTCACAATAAAAAGATAAAATTATTTGTGATTCACAAAACTCTATGATTCTGTCCCACTGTCCTTATTCACATTTGAAAAAATTATTATTTAAAAAATATATGTGACAATTTGTTATATTAAAAAAAATCAAATCGAAGAATGAAGAAAGAACAGAAAATATCATTTAACAAAAATAGTTTCGTGTAATTTTATATTTCTAAAATCTCTCATAAATCATTAATTTGAGGAAAATGTAAGAGGGAAAATGAAAAAATGAATGCAGTTCTTTAAAATTCAAGATGGAAATTATATTAAAAGCTAGATAAAAAGGAGTGGCAACAATCTTGTGCGTGTTCGGTGCTCGTGTAATTATATTCTCCCGAATAAACTAAAAATCGAGTGAACAGTTGATTAAAAATAAAGATAGCGTGCAATTGGAAATTTTAAAAGGAAAATCGCCTTTTTTTAGTCGAATGATTTTGTCTAATCAAATTTAACTATTCCGACCGGCACATGTTGCAAAGTAGATCGAGACGATGTTGCGCGAAAAGTGAAGCCAGACACCAAGGAATCTTACACGTATACTCGTATTCCCACTTCTAGAAAAGTTCTTATTAGGGAAACCCTTCGCAATTGGCTGACTAGAACGCAATCGTTTGGCGCAGCTCAGAAATACAATGTTTAGTGGCAAGACATGTAAGAAAAAGGACAATACATTCTTCTTTGGCATTACTTTCAAAGAACTTTTTCCTGTATATGGTACATTATCTTTGTTCATCGCCGATTGGAAGGATGGTTGAAACGTGATGGATGTGGTAGTTACAAATTGTTTTTTCTTCTTCTCTTTCTTCCTTTTTTTCATTCTCTCTTTTTCCCTTCTTTTCATATAATAAGAGAGCGTACATACTACGGGGGATGATTTGAAATGATACGTGTTTTCTTGGGAGGGAAAAGAATATTTTATAATAGAAATACATTTGCTAAAGTATGAACACGTAGAGAAACAATAAAGCATTTTTTTACAGTATTAGAATTTATATAGAATTTTAATGCTGAAGTTTATTAAGAAGCCGGCATTCGTTTCATTATCTTCTTCTATTATCATTATCATTATGGTTAACACTAATTAATCACTTAATTACCATCTAATTTTTTCACTCAAAATTATTTTACAAATTAAATTTGCTGTCTGTGACATAATATATATTATATATATATATTAGAATAGAATAAATAGAAAATGTATTTTTTGAAGCTTCTTATAAAATTACTGTTAGTATTAGAAATCGTATTTTTATAGTTACAAATTTAACTTTAATAGTTACTTATACTTGTTGTATATAATCTACTTACTATTATTGTTACTATATTCGTATTCTATTAACATAACTAGTACGTGCAAGTCATGAGCCAGTTTGTGGAAAAAACAAAAATGTGTCTTTTCTGATTCTATTGTATGTTCATATAGTGAATAATAGTATCTCGATATGTAATCGAGTTAAATTTAACTACTGCGTGTAAAATGGTCATTGTGTGTGGATGATATCGATCGACTTTTTTATTCTTCAGACGCTGTTTAATGCTTAAATGCAAAAGTTCCCCTTGCAAAATCGATTCGCCAAATAATCGGTGCGTTGGATATTTCCCACGAGAGACTCATCGAAGGACAGTTATTACCGACTATATAAAGCATGATGATGGTTTGCTTTTAAAATTTTTAGAAGCACTTTGAATAGCACAAAACGAAAATTTAACGCTATTTTTTTAAAAGTTCTGGTCTTTTTAAAAGTTTTTTAAAAATTCTAGTCACAACATGAAACATAAAAATCATGTTTATCAGGATATGTTGCAAAACTTTTATGCGTGCAAAAATTTTCTTTTGTATTGCCAAATTTGCATTCAGTATTAAAACGATCAAATAATAAACCTTTAATAGTCTTTGTTATTACATTCTCTAACATTTGTAATAAACTTATTGTTAATTGTTATTATACGTGTCCCTCAATCATTATTAGATAAGACTGTTTTGAACTAGAATAAAAAACATGAATGGTATTCTCTTCACTATCGCCGACCTTTTAAAAATACACGAGTTTCAAATGGAACTAATGTTCGTAGGGGGATATTTTAAAACCGTTGCAGCCGTGTTTTAAAGTTAAGCGAATTACAAATATGCACATATTAAATTCATTTCGAATATTATGCAAGATTGTATATTTTTCCTGTAATATGAACATTTAATAGACAAACGACACGTAGTCACATGTGCATTTTCCCACCTGAGGAAAGTCGACGACGAATAGGGAAACTCGGCAACGAACGTTTACACGAACAAAAGGGGTGATTCACCCTACCACTTTGTACTTGGGGATTCTTCTTCCTCGCTAAAAGTAATAAAATAAAATAAAATATTTCTAGTAGTATATTTTAATAGAATGCATTTCAATGAAACCTAAAATATTGAAGAAATATTAATAATTGATAAAAAAAAATATAAATATTTTAATGTACATATATACAAATTTACTTTAGTAATAAATATTAAAATTTGATCAATAAATAGCTATGCTATAGATACTTTGGTGTTGAAAATGAATGTAAATAATATTGATAATATTATAAAAAATATTTCGGTAAACATTCCGTTATGGAATTGAAATATGTTGTCGGTTTACTATTGACAAAACAAACGACGAAATCGTAGGTTACCGTTTGTAAACAATGAACAAAACTTATTCCTCATCAGTCCTCGATGTTAGTTCTTCCTGGTTAATCTATCCCCATTTTTGTTTTACCGATATTTGCGACAATAACAACAATAGTTTGAGTAACGTGCCATTAAAATAAATCACAGAAATTTTTCAGATTGATACCTTGCCATAATTATTATTTGTTAAATAGCCTTCATGGATTAATAAGTTAAACAACGAATATCGAAGATCTCGTTTGGGAAAAAATAGAATCTTGGAAAGTGTAAAATGGTAGTGCAAAGAATAGGAAATAATACATCAAAGTCAAACACAATTTGTGGATCACCGTCTTGTAGTGCAAGAGATAGAAAGGAAACGAAATTCAAAGATGTTTGCTCTAGTGGACTACAGAATACTTGTATTCGAACTGCGGAATGTAAATCTGGTCAATATCGTTATTCGTACAATGGAAAAGAGGTAATTTTATATTTTGCTTTAAACATAGAAAATTTATATAATAATTGTTGTAAGATAATATTTGTATAATTTAATAATAACGTCTATGAAAGAAATCTATATATTGAAATACAACTACGTATCCCGTTATTTTAGCATGTTGTTAATTAATTAATAACATCATATCATTGATACACAAATATTTGTCGTGTCTGTAATGATCGCATTTTAAATTATTTAGCCAACCAAAAAAATAGGTAGAAGTAAACCAAGAATGCAACTAAGTGGACAGAAAGTCATAAAAAAGAGACTACCTCCTCCAAAAATTTTAACAAAAGAAGAGTACGACGAATTTCAAAAATACAGTTCTCTGACGAAGGAAGAGCGAGATGCGGCTCTTAAATCGGAGGAAGAAGAGAGGCAAAGACTTATGAAAGAGAGTATGGAGAGAAAAGAGGAATTTCGTAGAATAGATCAAGGAAGGCCTCGAGAAAAATGCCCGCAATTGGCCGAAATAGAAGAGGAAGCTAGGAAAAGAGCGAAACATGTGCTTGAAAGAGCAGAGAAGATGAAGCTCGAACAGGAGGAAGAAATCCAAAAGTGCAATAGGATCATTTTAGAGACTAAATGTCGTGCTATAAGAGACGCTCAGGTAGATAATGTGAATTTATATATTAAATAATGAAATAAAATTCTGTTTTTATATATTATATTTAAAGCTTGTAATTTTTAACAGATAGCAGAAAAAAAGCTAATGGAACTCGAGTTGGAGGAAGAAGAGAAACGTTTAAATGATATGATGGAAAATGAAAGAAGATGGGCGATTAAAGAAGAAATTAAAAAAGAACAGGACGAAGCAGTAAAAAGACAAAAATTTGCTAATAGTCTAATCGATCAAATAAAAGAAAACGAGGAAAACAGGATATTAGAGTTTGAAAGGAAGCAAGAGGAAAGTCGATTAATTAATTTAAACAATATCAATTGGCAACAAGAAGAAATTACAAAATTACGAAATAAAGAATCCGAAAACGCATTAATTCGACAACAGCTCGCTGAAGGGAACGAGCAATTAAAACACTTTAAAGCCATGGAAAAGCAGCAAAATAAAGTCATTGATCTTAGGTAAGATTTATCAAATTATTAAATTATTGAAATTTTGATCAATCATTAATGATAATATTTCATAGGATACAAGAATACCAACGGTATAAGGAAGAAAGGGAAGCAAAGCTGGCGGAAGAACGAAGATTGGAAAAATTAGAAAAAGAAAAGGCTAAAACAACTGTTGCAATACAGACATTGCAAGCAAGGGGTCAACAAGTATTTAATTATTTAATTAATGGAATTATCTTTTTTTACATTTATTTAAATTTTTTACCGTACGTTGCAATTATTAGCTTCTGGTTTAAATATCAAAGCCTTTGGATTCCTTTTTTATTTGTACCATTGTACTGTATATTATAAATTTTATTACAATATTTATAAATAAGAATAAATAGATAATTGTACATTTCGCACTTATATTTTAATAATTATTTTTTGCACCCCTTCTCTAGGAGCGGATCGATGAGTTGAATGCTGCACGAATTCAAGAAGAAGTAGAAAGACAATGGAGACAAAAAGAAAAGGAAGAAGCTCTTAAAAAAGCGCAAGCCCAGAAGTTACTTATAAAAGAAAGAGAAAAACAAATAAACAACAAACGAATAATGGAAGCAATTGAACTAGAACGAGAAAGACGTGAATTTGAAAAAATTGTACGTGTTCAAAAGGAAGCTTTCTGTCGAGAACAAAAAGAGCTTGAAAAGAAACAGCGACAAGCATTAATTCATAGGAGCGAAATACTAAAACAGGTTTGTTTTCACGGTTGGATTATAGATTTTTTAATTTATTATCTTTCTTCTAATACTATGACTAAATTATTTTATGTCTATCATCTTCATCAGGTAAATGAGAAAGAAAGAGAACGCATCGAAGCAAGACAAAAAATGTTCGAGGAAGGTTTAGCAATACGTACAGAAGCCGCGATACGTAAGAAAAAGCTGCGTGATGCAATGGAAAGAAAATGTGAAGAGATGAGAAGAAACAGAGTGCCTGAAATATACATCAATGAAGTAAAACGAATGATCAGCAATATACAATAAATACAATAAATGTATAATTGTAATTTGTCTATTTATCATTCACAGTATATCCTGCGTACTATACCTGCTTAAATGAACGACCTTTACACTTATCAAAATCACAGAAAACAAAATTCATGACATAAATACTACATCTAAATATTACTTCCATAACATAACAACATTCGGATCGCGTTCAACAATATCTTCGATTTGTGCAGCCGATTGACCTGTACTACAACAAATTTCATCAAGACTGTATGTTCCTGTAAAGTACTTATAAACTGGATTGTTTTTCGTCTCTTCATTAAAAGGAGATCCCGACAAATATATTGGATACTGCAAATTATGAAAGTTGATAAAAGATAAGACAAATGATTGTTTAAATGAAATGGATCTTTCACAGTAAATCTGATAACCTTATATACTCGACGAATGAGACCTTCAATAAGACCAAATTGCACCAGCCTCCTTTCATTGATTCTTAGATTCTGAGGATTGAGACGTTGACACAAATCTCTCATGCTGCTGCCATGTGTCATACTTGCATACATTCGATATATATCTCTAAGATATGCAGGTTGTCTAGCTAAAAATAATCGTTTGTAGAATGTTTATCTATTCTAATAAGTTTTCACAATGAAGATGTATAACTTACGGAATTTTGAAGCATATGCTATGCATCGTTCTTGTAATTTTGTATTTTCGGCCAATTCTTTCAATTTGGAAGTTGCAGCATACACATTACTGTATTGAAATATTGGAATTAAAGTTACAACACCGTAATAACTGGAAGTGAATAGAAACAATCAATACTGGAGAAATTGTGTTTTAAATGAAATTTTGTATTTATGTACTTACATAAGATTCTGTACACAACTTTTAACTAGATTATTTTCCACGTCTGCTTCAGCTGCTATTCGTGCAACATGATTAAATCCATCTATGTATGGTAATACTTGCTGAGTGGTTAAATCCCACTGATCAGTTTGGAATGCTTCACGGCCCTCCAAGAATATTGGTACCTGATGATCAAGAACTGGTTTCGGCTCAGGTGCTAATTTTATGACTTTCAAATGGGACGTCATTGTCCCCTCTATTAAAATATTATATTTTACATCTTTAACATTTTTGTACAAAACTATTCTTTATAAAACGTGTTTACCTGTTAATGTACACATTTTGTGTAAATTCAAATCTTGCATTACATGTTGCAACATTTCTGCTAATCTTGTTTTATCCTCAGAGGCAGATAAAAAACAATTTTCTACCTCTAGAGCCATCTGAAAAATTAAATTAAGTTCGATAAACAGTATTGATAAAGCAATTATTTCCAATGTATAGTTTCTTACTAAAAAATCAGACATCTTTTTTACAACAGGTTCATAATGTACAGTACGAGCTTCTGCATCACATACAAAACATAAGTTGAAATAAAATGCATTTCTTGCATACTTCTTATCATCAATCTTTACTGGAAATCCTAGGATTTTATAATCCTTCAATGTCCTATACAAAATAAATAATTTAATAAACTAGTTCAAAATAAATTCTTAAATTTTCATATTTCTTTTTGCCTCTACTTACACTGTGATAGTACTACGCTGTAACTTTGCTTTTGGTATAATATAAACACTGACATTGTCAAAAATATCCTTTGAAATAAAATTATCTGGAACCTAGTAAAAACATATATCATTATGAACTTTATAAGTTTTATAAGTTACATATAAAAATAATTAAAATAAAAAAATCAAAATAATATTTATTATACGTTGTGTATAACCTTAGCTAACCTGACAAGTAATCATTGGACCCACAATAGGATGAAATTCTGAAAAAAATATACATCTAATCGGATCTTCTTGTGCCTCATCCTTTTTATTCTCTGTTACTGATGTCATTTTTGTCGATTTCAATAACCTATAATAATATATAAAATATTATTAAAATATATTCACATGCATGTTAATAAAGAACCGAATCTATTACTTATTTCATAATTTTAAACAAATTAGCAATCAATTTTCATATCAAAATAGTCAAAATCAATACAATCAATACTTCTTCAAATTCAATTCTTATCTACATACATAGGAAAATTTTCATACATAATTACATACTGCAATTTTATGAAATTAAGATTTTTATATTTGCTTGAATCTCTATTTACTTGTACAAAAATAAAAAACATCCTATTTTTTTAATTTATAAACAAATTTTTATTGATTAAATATGTATTAACTATAGTGAATATACCTTAAAATACATTTTATTTCGTACAATAAGAAGCATGAAAAATCCTTGAAAATTTGTAGAGTAACGTTTCTTTCGAAATGCAATTTTTAAAAAACTACGTACTGCATAGATATGTGTCACAACATATTTCTACTTATACATATGTGTACTCAAGAGGAAAAATGTATTTATACCATATCATAAGGGGAAATAGGAACACATAAATGTAAACAGAAGTATAAATAAATATTTTTTTAAACAGACAAAAAGTGAGTTTAGATAATGAGGATAATATAAATAGATGAACAAAAACACAAAAGATATAAGAAAATAAGAATAAGAGGAGCAATGATAAAAATATGTAATACATATTAGTAAGGAAAAAAGATAGTCAAGCATGAGAAAGAAACATCATGAGAAATAAAGAGAGAGGGAAAGAGAAAGCAATTCAATGAATAAGTAAGAACAAGTGCCTGTGTAACAAAGAGAGGAAGAATATTTAACCTTCTTTGTTATATTATTGGTACGTAATTTTATTAACATTTTACTAAGGACTTATAAATTCTTTTATTATATTTTTGTCACAATTATAGCTGTATCATATTGATAGCAACTGTTTTTTAGTCATAGACATCTTGCAATCTGTAACCATAACTTATGTACATACATGTTTAAATTTTTTATCTGCAATAAGTTTAGTTCATATCCTTTTTATGCCTACTATATGATAATATTTACCATAATTTTATAAACATATATTAAAAAAGTAATCTTTTTCTATTTTTAAGATTTTTAAGCTTTTAAGATTTTATTATCACAATAAAATAAATTTTATCTTTTGAAAAATTAATGAAAAAATATTAATTGTTTTTTTATATTTTGGGATTATTAATGCTATAGAATATATCTAAATGGTACTTGTCAAACTTTGGATCTTTTAGTACAATATGTTTCCAATATAAAATTTCACCTATTAAAACCATAAAAGCTAATACATATCCAACTATAATTGCAATAAATGCACCTTGTAATTTATGAAGATCAACCAATGCTTTCTCTGACTCTGTTTCTTGTCTTATTTCCATAATTTTTGACCACTCCATGACATCACTTAACCATTTTTCAACTAATCCAATTTCTATTATACGCCTTATCTAAGAATATGCATTGTATAAGATAGATCATTGCTAAATACCTTTTCTCATAATAGTTTTATAATAATTTACAAAAAGAGATACATACTAAAGTATCAACCCTTGGTTTCAATGGTGAATTTTTTTCTAAACCAAGGGCTATTGGCATATTTATGACACATTCTTCCATGATATGTAAATTATGCTTTGATGATATATCCACTGTAGTTATATTTTCTTTTTGTTCTTTCTCTAATATCTGTCTCTTTACACGGACATGTCGAAGTAAATAAGAATTCTCATAGTAAGCAAAAGAACCGTTTGCCACTTTCTCAATAGCTTTATCTTCTTCTTGAATTAACTTGAATTTGTTACCAATTTCTTGGCTACTAAGATCTGATGACATTGAGAAAAAATTTTTATTCTCCTTATTCCATCCTCCAACTTCTATAGAACTTTTTGCCAACTGTCCTAATGTATCAATAGTAACTCTGCATACAAATTGCAATATAAATAAAGTGTAATACATTGAAACATTTTATTAAAATAATTTTCACCTGGCAACTGGATTCGCTAAGGTTGCGGTCATGCTAGCTCGATAAGCAACTGCAACTAAAATGCTATAAATCCACCACCATCCAATTAATACCCGTACAGCCCAAGAGCTTGGCAAACTTGGCAATGAAATTTGAAATAGCATGCCATAAGTATATAAAATACTATTTCCTATTTCAGTGAATAAGTATAACCCCTTTATTTCTTTCTTCATTGATGTATTTTGGAAATGCATTTGATTTTTATACAAACTTATATGTTTTTTATACGATATTGATAAAAAATAAAATACAACCCCTCCTAAAATTAAAGTAAGGACAAGAGCAATCCAGGTGTAAAATCTAAAAAGCAATATATATATATACATATTTTATTTGTTTATTAATTACATTTCTTTCATTTTATACTTACTTGAATGGAAGTATTAGAAGCTTCCATGAATTTTTAGTTAAAGATTCTGGTGTCAGAAAAGTAAGGCATTCAGTATTGTATGGGGTAGTAAGGTCAAAGTAATTCAAGTGGTGCAATGTATAGTGCAAATCACCCAAATAAAATGCAGCCTTTCCTTGTATGGCTTCACCTACTAATCCAACATGAGTTTGATTATCTTCGTTGATGCCCCATTTCTCTAAAGTAATATTATCAGGCATATAATATTTTGGTTTAAAATTCATTGCTTTTGATATGATCTGCATTAACTGAAAAATATAAAAGAATAAAAATATAAAGCCATAAGTCTTGTATACATATAGTACATACTTCAAATTCTATTCCAAGACCTTCTGTGTTATTATTTGGTTGTTTGTTATAGTATGCTCTTGACTTTGTTGTCACTGCTGGAATATGCTCAAATACAGCAATTCTGAAATATGTATCAAATCTTTCTTACTATTTCTTAAAGTAATAGTTATAATTATAGCTGCATTATAATCTTTTATACAAACTGCAAATGTTTTTCTTGTAAGTTAGTGATTTTCTCTGTAAAATGATTGGTACCATAAAGCAATTTGCCTTTGTACCAAGTATCTATATATTTTGTCACAATAGATTTTCTTTTACGAAGGGGAAAATAGACCGTATCCAAATCAATTCTTTCTTTGGAAGCTTTCTCACCAGAACGATACTTGTATGCATTGTATTGGCGAATAAAAACTACATTAATTATCCTGTTCCAAAGATAATGCAAATGCGATCGGAATAAACGAGAGTCATATAACAGTAAAAATAATCCACGGGTGTTAATAAGACGTTCTCTGAAAGTAAAAAATGAAATTTAGTATTTGAAATACTAAATAATAATTATTAATAAATTTAATATTTCAAATCTGATATTTGATTCTGATTTTAACCTGAAATAGGAGTTGATTCAATTTTTTTGTTCCTTATCTCTGATAATATCTAATTAAATTCGTATTAATAGAAATAATTTTCTATTGAAAAAAATAATGATGATTAATATTATTATAAATGAGAATAAAAGTAAGGGAGACTATAACAAAAGGAAGAATGCTCTAATTAATTACTTCGTGAAATTAAGAATGCATATGTTTATACAAATGTATCATAAATAAAAGTACACAAACTATCCTAAACTATTGTGACATTATTGTGTATACATGATATCATGTATCCTCGTATTTCTAAATTAAGTGAAAGTTTATCTTGCTCCATAATCAACTATTTCTTATCTGATATCTTTGAATCATGATTCATAATAGCTTGGATTAAGCCACTTAATTAATTTGTATTTTGTACTTTACGCGATAAGGAGCATTAAATGTTAGTAATGGTTCTTATTATGTAATTTTCTACAATTGTTCAATCTAATACTAATCCAATCAAAATTGTTGAAGTCATTTATGACGCCAGTGATATCAGTTAAGAGTTAAATTTAGTGGCAAGTACTCGCGATAAAATCGTATACCAACGTGGTTAACATTAAGCTTACAACCTCGCGATTTGATTCGTGACGCCCCATCGATCTGGTAGGGTTTCGAAATAAATGTAAAAGATGTAATATTCGTTTTGCGGGAAATAAGAGTTAATGTATTTTAAAATGTCTGTAGAACTGCATTAGGAAGTGGCAACAAAATCCTGTAGTTTGAAAAATGATAGGCCCTAAGCATCTTCTATTTGGAAGAAGTTACCAAGAATATTGCTAGCAAATGAACCTAATGAGTATATTTTTGTTTTAATTGATGATAGAGAAAAATTGATTTTTATCACTTTGGGTTCATAATAAAAATGATCCCTATCTATGTTTTTGTCTTTCTTCAGGAAAACTAAAAAACAATATAACCTTTTTAATTTCTGTTTAGTACGTTTCAGTTTTTTCAAACATCGTATTAGATAATTTCTAAGAATTTCTAATTATATAATTTCTGGCTATAAATATATCGTAGAAGAATTACATCCAATTAAATCGTGAAATTGTAGATCTTATAACAAAAGTTTTTATAGAACTAGTTAATTTTCATTCGATAACAAATCAAGATATAGGTCATTTTTTACAATATCCATTGTATTATAAATGTAGCTTCTGACTACTAGAATGCATTATTATTTAAAAGATTGAAAAATTTGTTGAGGATTATTGATTAATATTTATGATATCTGAGGATGATCTGATTAATATTTATTTATATATTTACCTTTCTGTATATTGCAAAAATTCAGCTGCCATAAATCCATTAGCAATTAATATAATATATGCACTGCAATTAACTGCTTTTCCGTCGATCAAAATTCTCTGAACTTGTCGTCTTGGCTGTAAAAATTGTTCGTTATCACGCAGTGCAATCTGCAATGTACATTATAAATAATTAGTAAAGTTAAGAACATAAAAAGTTAAGAACAAATTAGAATATCTGATCTTACCTCATATTTCAATACAGTTGAGGAACCTTTAATATTTTTAACATCTACGAGATTTCGATAAACAGAATCGCTAACAAAAACAATGCAATTCCTTTGGTCGATAATTTCTTCCACGATTTCTTCGACGACAGATTTCAAATTGTTTCCACTGTTCACGCATTGATGCTCTTTATAAAATACACTATACAATTTTATAAATATTTGCTAAATGATTATTTCTTTTAATTAGAAATAAATTAGGTTTCTCGTAAATTAACTCGTGGATTGTAGATATGAAATCTATATATATCTAATAAAAATTAATAAAATTATGCAACTAGTTATAAATGCAGTACAATTGTTAATTTTCCATTTCAATTTATATTCACGGAAACTGATCGTTTTATTCCATTGATTGAATTTCGCTAAATTTTGTCTTTAATATATTAATAATAAACAAAAGGATGTAAAAAGTAAAAGTTTGAATAATAATTAAAATACCGCGCACAAGAAATTGACTAATTAAAATAATGTTAATTTAAACTTCATTAATGCCGTTACCTTTTACCGGATACCAGTATGATTTGAAGAAACAACGTAACAAGTATCATTGTTCGGATTCTACTGCTAAAAATTGCGATACGATTTCTGATTGAAACGCTTTACATACACATGCATGCCATCGACTTACTGGATCCTTTTAATTTGTTCTTTCGATCGTACGAAGTAATAAAATATTCAGGAATCTCATTTGCAGGGGAATTAATTTACATAGGAAATGCAATCGATAATGTAAATGTAACTTAGCTGTTTCGTTTACATCAACTTTGAATAAAAGGTCACGGTGAGTTCAATTTATTTTTATTCTTATAAATCGATTGCAAAGCGTGCTGAAATGTTGAATTAAAAATCAAATTTCGATCAGTATGAATGTCGTTTAACGCGGAATTTACAGGAGATATAAGATACATACCGAAAACAGAGGGAAAATTAAAAATGGGTGGTAATTTGATAATGTTTGAATGAAGATATTATGAGAAAATTAAAATAAATATCTATATGTAATGTTACAATTTAATATTATGTGTTACTTTGCATAATCATTAATGATATGAGTTCTATATATAAATATTTACATCCCAATTAATGTGTATTATGAAACCTCTTATGATAGCGAAAATACATAGTAGACGAAGTGTAAATGCTATGCATTGCGGTATTAAAACATATTGCAATTATCATTATCACATACAAGTTGCTATAATTACTTATATATATAAAGTAGTCATTTTGTTTCTTTGTTAAACTATGTCTACTTTTACGTTTGATTTGCCAAAATAACCGCGAATTGAGATATAAATAATTTTTTTTTAATATGCGTTTTTTATTATACTTTGAATAACTTAATCTTATTGTTTCCAAACCAAACAATATATTAAATCACTTTTTATTATCGATATATTATTCATACGCAAGTGAGCCTTCATTAACGGTCGAATGAATTGCTGTATACAGTATATGTTGTACTTTCCAACGAGTGACTATTCATTGAAATTTTTATTTTTTTTGTGTGAGTATCGATTATATTTTTATAGATAAGAAAATAAAGTAATAGATACTGAAGTAATAGATACTAAAGTAATAAATAGTAAAGTAATAGTAAATAAAGAAAATAAATATTTGAAGAATCTTATTAATTTAAAAAAGAGTAAAGTATATAAATAGTACTTATGTGAACAATCCATTACTGATATTTCAATTTCATATTGAGATCATGATAAAAGCATGAACACCTGCACTGCTAGCAAAAAAACGAATGGAAATTCATAAGTCAAAAATATACGAAATGTCGTAAAATGTATTATACATAGTAGTAATAAATACATGTGTATACCGTATGTATATTTTGCCAAATTTCTTATCTAATCTAAATATGTTCTTTAACACCTGCCTACTAGTACGCCTTCATTCATAAGTGCAAAAGATCTTCATAAATTAAAAATAAAATAGGATATTAAAATTTCCTATGATACTCATGGTCTTATGATTTAAAAAAATTAAAAGATTCGAATTAATACAATTAGACGACTGTACATTAATAAAAGTAGAAATATCAAGAATTTCAATCTGTTTTTGTTGCTTTGTCATCCTTTACTGATAGATATTTTATTTTCTCTGCATTGTCAAAAAATGAGAAATATTTTAAAAAGCCTCATATCCTCTAAAACATCAAAATTGTGCTTGATTGTTTTAATGATTATCATATAAAATAAATGTAATATTTAAAATTGTGTATCTACTGTATTAATAATAGAGATGTACTATTATGTAAAATTATCCTTAATAAAAGTTAATAAAACAATTTATAAATTATATAGCGTTCTCGAGAATTTAAAAGTATCGTTGTATATTGTATCAAGCACAAATCTAAACATTATTGTACTGTATAGGTGTTGTAGCCGAAGAACTTAGTTAAGATGAAGAATACAATAGCTGACTTACCAAAAGGCCCTTTAGACCCTTATAGAAAATCTGCAACATTTGATTGGAAATTATTGAAACTTAATATAGAAGGAGAAGATTTTGTTGAATTTCAGGTATATAGAAAGAGATATTATTTTAATAATATATTTGAAAAATTTTAGTTTCATTTTCTTAATTTGGAATTTTTGTATGTAAAGTATGAATATAAAAAGTTTCACATGTTCTTTGTCATTTCAGAAAACATTGTGGGATTTTATGAAAAAGACATCAGTATTTCAAAGACATAACTGTACTACATTAGATGAACAACGAAGGCTTTGTAATGCTCGTGTTCGAGCACTGAGAGATAATAATATTGCAGTATATATTATCAACAATAATAAGTAAAAGAAGAAACAACTTTTACTTATATAAGCCATTTATAACTTTTTTGCAGAGTCCACTAACTCATGCACATTGGTTTAATATAGTATTTCAATATGAAGCCTCTATACCAATAAAAATGGGTGTGATGGATGGTATGGTACCAAGTACAATTCTTGCATTGGGCAATGATGATCATTTTCAGACTGTAGCAAAAATTCAAGAGGGAGAAGTAAGCATTAGTTTAATTAAACATGTTTCAAATATTCCAATACTGAATTTTAATAGAATTTTAATAAAATCAACCAGTATTGATCAGTATTTGATAAAATTTTATTTCAATCTTTATTTGAACTTATGCTAAAAGATTATAATAGTATTTTCTATTTATATAATACTATTTTCTTTAGTATACTTGTTGTTTTGCACTGACTGAGATATCCCATGGAACAAATGCAAAAGGAATAAGAACTACAGCTACATATGATGCAAAATCAAAGGCTTTTATCTTAAATACTCCTGATTTCGAAGCTGCAAAATGTTGGATTGGCGGTTTAGGTGAATAAATAGGAATATATACTTTATCAAATTCATAAATGAACAACAAATAAAATTTGTGCATTTTTAGGAAAAACTGCAACGCATGCTATTGTATTTGCACAATTAGTAACGCCAGATCAACAAAATCATGGTCTTCATACTTTTATTGTACCCATCAGAAATCCAAATACTCATATACCTTACCCAAATATAGATGTTGGTGACATGGGTGAAAAAATTGGATTAAATGGAGTTGACAATGGATTCATAATGTTTAACAATTATCTTATTTCTCGAACATGTTTGTTAAATAAAACAGCAGATGTTACTGAAGATGGGAATTATACAGCATCTGTGAAAGATAAAAGCAAACGATTTGGTGAGAATTTAAAGAAATTATGTTTTCTTTTTAACAGCAATTTTAATAATATTTATATATTTAAATTCGTATAGGTGCATCCTTAGGTGCATTATCTTCGGGGCGTATTACCATTACATCAATATGCGCAAACTTTGCATCTGTTGCAATAACCATTGCTGTGCGATATTGTACCGTAAGAAAACAATTCGGACCATCGGAATTAGAAGAATGGCCGGTTATAAAATATCAAGCGCAGGTATTTAAATGAGTCGAATGAAAATCTAAAAAAAAAAAATAAATAAATAAAATGTATGATACAATTAAAATTTAACGTAAACATGTAGCAATGGCGATTGTTTCCTCACTTGGCAGCAACATATGCTCTAAAAATATTTTCTGCTGAATTTGTAAATCAAATGTGCGAATTTAATTTCAAACTTATAACTGCAAAAAATCAAGATAATATTGATAATGAAGGTATGGAAATACATGCATTATCTTCTGCAACAAAACCAGTATGTTCGTGGACTAGTCGAGATATTATACAGGATTGTAGAGAGTCTTGCGGAGGACACGGTTATCTTAAAAGTATGTCGATTGTAAACTAAATACGATAAAATAATTTATACTTTGCTTTCATCTTATTTAATTTTTATTATTTTATCTTATTTAATTTGTAATTATTAGTCTCACGTTTGGGCGACTTGAGAGCTGAAAATGATGTAACTTGTACATTTGAAGGCGAAAATAATGTATTAATTCAACAAGCCAGCAATTGGTTACTAAATCAATGGTCAAACGTACTCAATGGAAAACCAATAAATTCTCCTTTAAGAACAGCAGATTTCATGAAAGATGCCAACAGTATTTTAATGCAAACTTTCCCTTATACAACAGTCGATGAAACATTGAAACCAGAAAGTATGAAAATCAATTTAAACACTCTTCACAATTCACGAGTTTATTTGATACTTCCTTTTTACAGATTTATTTTTATCCTTTACGTGGTTATTATGTTATTATTTAAAAAGAACATATGAACAGACACAAAACTTGAAACGCAAAGGTTGTGATGATTTCGAAATTAGAAACAATACTCAAGTATTCTTTGCACAAACATTATCTCTATTATATGGGCAGGTAATAACCCTCTTTTAATATTATAACATGTATATGTTAACATGAATATGTTAACTTCATTAATATTTCTTTTTGTAGCATGTGATAATGAAGTACTTCATAGAATGTATTCAAAATCCTTCATGGAGATCAGAAGAACGCAATGTGCTAATAAAGTTATGTTCGCTCTATGGAGCAGCTATTTTAGAAAAAAGATTAGGAGACTTTTATGCTGGTGGATATGCATCACCCAAGAGTAATATGGATACATTATTGCGAAGAGGGATTATAATTTTGTGTAAAGAATTAGTTCAAGAGGCAGTAGCATTAGTAGATGTTTTAGCACCACCAGATTTTGTATTAAATTCTCCATTAGGAATGTCAGATGGTCAAGTACGTTATTTTATTTATTTTCAAAATCTCACATTTAATCAATCTACAATTATCTAAATCTGTTTTGCATATAGGTATATAAACATATCAAAGAAGAAATATTTAAAGTCAAAGAAAACTTTGAACGACCGTCATGGTGGAGAGAAATAGTACGATCAAAATTATGATATGTACATAACATGTAATTAATATTTTTTGTTATTATATTTTTAATATTTTTTATTATACGTATAAAAATTATACACCTGGATAATAAAAATTTATTATAAAATTCTGATTTTTATTATTGTATATTTTTATTATTAGTACTTACAGAATGAATAGTAAACCATAATAATATTATAATTCTGTGTGTTTTCTTACTGTGATTAAAAATTTGTCTGCTTCTGCAAACCATTCATCATAAACCGTTTGGGGTTCAATCATCCAAAATTTATGGAATGATATAGGTTCTTGTGAAGCAAGGTATGCAGTCGCATAATCTGAAGGACGTGCCTGTAATAAATATATATTATTGTTTTGAAAGAAATTACATTTATCTTAAATAAAGTAAATAATTTCGTATAACATACTTGATGAAACATTGATGAATGTACAGGTTGCACTCTGATTCGTGATAGACATATACCAAAAAGATACATATCATCTGGAGTAGTAGATGACGGACATTCGCATTTACCTAGTTCTATGATTTCATGAACCAGAGATGCAGATAAAGCAACTCCTGCTCCACCTGTTAAATATTCATACCCGTAATCACTATCCCAGAGTTGAAAACCATATCGTTCTCCAATAGCAACTGGTGTGTTTGGATTGTAACATGTCAATAAACGTAACAAACGTGCCACGCTAATTTATGTAGATAATATTATATTAATATCTATTATTAAATTGTATATATTATATATATATTACAAACAAATATAATACAGATATATAAACAAATATACATACCTAAAAATTGTGTCATCATCACTGATTATTAACCAATTTAAATTTTTCTTTTTTAATATTTTATCTGCTTGTACTAAAATGCTGTATGTTTTAGCACAATGCCCTTGTGTTGTATTTGGAACAATGAAACTATCAGGCAGATGTTTATCTATACTAAAAAGAAACATTACTTTACTGGTAATTAACACACATAATCATTGTTAAATTATATAATAAAAGTATTTATACCAGCAATATCACTAAAGTAACCAATATTTGTAGCATATTTTGCCCATGTTCTTTTAATCACAGGAATTCTCTCAATATGAAATTTCGAACAAGTTTTTACAGCAAAATAGATATTTTCAGTGGTCACAGATGAATCCTTCATTTAAAATAAATTAGAATATTATTTAGAATTATAACTTATAATTACATTAGTACTGACTTACACATGGATGAAAAAATCTTGGATATGTAGCACACTCAGAATTAGATATGATGCATATTTCAGATACATGTGTTAATCGTACTCCTTTACCAACTTTCAATACGAAAGATGCAAATTCATATGATGCATCAATTGAAAAATCATCTTTAGGTCTATCACCTTCATTAATTTTATGTACTAGGCTGATAAAACAAAAGTCATATCAAGCCTGTGATTTAAATTTTAAATTCATTTTAAAATACATCTTGTATAACATACTTAGCTAACAAATTTAACGTTATTCCAAAACCTGAAGCTATATGAGGATACTTCAATTTTTTCTTATGTTCTGCAAAATGATGGATGATAGTTGGTTCTTGATCGTATAATACATGACCAATCCATATATTCTAAAACAAATACTCCGTGTTTAACTATTCTAAGTACAATTAAATATTTTAATAAGTAACATAAATTTAAAATAACATACTTTATTTTCTTTATATTTGAGAAGAATACTTAATAATTTATTCAATCTAATTACAGTATTCTCCAGACAGAAGAAAAACCATTTTGAAGTGGAATATGTATCCAATAAATAATTTAAAAGTGGTATTATTGTCCAAGATCCATTAATATTCAATTTGTGAGATAAGATAATTTTGGGAGGATCCTAATGAAAAAAATTATAGATGTTTTGTGCAAAAGATTATATTTTATATATAATATGTTTTAATATTATATGTATCAAATATGCTTTATTGTACATACCTTATCAAGGGCTTCTGCTTGTTCAAGAATATTTTTCTTTAACATTTCAGCATGAGCCATATGATAACCTTCCTTTTGATCTAATATTACAATAACTATGTCACTGGGGTCTGTAAAAACAATTAATTTACAATTTGTATTTGATGATAAAATGAAGAATAAGTATACTATATATAACATCTATAACATAACTTACCTAAACCATTTACATTAATCTTATCCACGAATAATACAAGAAATATGAAGTACATAGAATATATGGAAAACATTGTTTTCGAAAATTCAACTTAATTAATACTCCCTCCTATAAGAAAAAAATTAAAAGACTTGAAATAGATGAAAACATTTCATACTAATGTAAGAAAATAAGACTATGTGAGTTGCAAGTTGTTTAAAATATTAAGTTTAATAACGAATAATTTTAATATTTGGACGATATTTGATTCCTTTTTATTTTAACTGATTGATAATACACAGTACTTGATATTTGATTCTTTTTTTATTTTAACTGATTGATAATACACAGTACTAGATAGTAATAATTTACAGTTCAAAAAACATATATAATGTATTTAAAGTACAAAAAATCACAAATATTTCTACACATTATAGTAGAAATATAATATTAACTAGATTAGATATTAAATACAATAACGTATTACCTTATACAAATTTACCATTAAATTCTTTGTCTAAATATCCACCATCATGAAACTTCTATCCACGTATGTATGTGTAGAACATGTATATATACGTATTGAGAACACATATTATGGTTAATTAGTGATAATAAGTAATAGATTTTCTCTTCGGTACTAGATACAGGACTAGCAGGTACTAATAGTATAGTAATATCAGAAAGAGAAATTAAAAAATGTTCTCTTTGATAATATATATATATATATTATATATATATATATATATATATATATATATATATATATATATATATATATATATATATATATATATATATATATATATATATATATATATATATATATATATATATATATATATATATATATATATATATATATATATATATATATATATATATATATATATATATATATATATATATATATATATATATATATATATATATATATATATATATATATATATATATATATATATATATATATATATATATATATATATATATATATATATATATATATATATATATATATATATATATATATATATATATATATATATATATATATATATATATATATATATATATATATATATATATATATATATATATATATATATATATATATATATATATATATATATATATATATATATATATATATATATATATATATATATATATATATATATATATATATATATATATATATATATATATATATATATATATATATATATATATATATATATATATATATATATATATATATATATATATATATATATATATATATATATATATATATATATATATATATATATATATATATATATATATATATATATATATATATATATATATATATATATATATATATATATATATATATATATATATATATATATATATATATATATATATATATATATATATATATATATATATATATATATATATATATATATATATATATATATATATATATATATGTAGAAAGTATTGGAATTACTTCAAGCTGCGATATTTAAAATTGACACACACATTAATTAATTACGTATCTTGTTAGAAAACAATTATACTATTGCTAAATTATTTTATGGACGGCTTGAATCTATAGTAAATTTTAGAATTTATATGACTTAATACAACAGTTTCATTTTTGTAACTAATTAACTTTAAGTTAATTTATATAAAATTGATGTCTTAATATCTATGTGTGATATGTATATGTAATATGTTAAAAATATATTATGTATTGTTTATTATAGCATTTTATTAATCTAGATATTATAAGGATTATTTCTATTGGTAATCCTGAATTATACAATTATACCCTTTAAATTATGTAACTGACCTCAAAGTAACTGTAAGAGTATATAACTTAAAAAAATGTCATTACTGTATATTCTGTATGTATACTGTATAAAATTTATTTACATTGTAAATATTTGTTTACTTAATCAAATTTTGCAATGATTTGAATTTACTTTTAGTATTAATTTTTAATTTATTCATGATATAACTTCAGCATGAAAAGATTTTAATCTTACAATTTTTCATTTTACTAATACAATATTGTTTATTACTAACCTTAGTTGACAGGAAGCAATTATTCATTCAATTTAGTCTTATCAAAATTAAAATCGATATATTTTGTACAATGATATACAATCAAATGTTTAAAAAATATAATTATTTCTCATTTTAATAACTTAAAAATTATTCTAGAAATTATATATTATATATAAATATTTAATATACAAAATTTACATAGTTTTAAAGAAAATACTGTGTGACATGTTTTTCTTTTTACATACAGCTCAAAATTCACATATTTGTATGACCACATTCATATAATATTCACATATTATGTATACATATTAATTAGGTAAGAGATAATTTATTCATAGCAGAAATTATTTCTACGATATTTTATTAAGTGTATCACTTCTTCCATTTTCTTTTCATGCAATGGATACATACAAGGAACAACTATGAAATAATGAACAATTTATGAAGATAAATATTTCCTACCATATAATTGCGCCTTTTTCTCAAAGCCAATGGATTTAATAGGCGTATTTAATTTATAGAATGGATTCATTGAGTACTAAAAAAGAGATTAAAAATTTTATTATTATATAATATGAATAAAATATCAAATACTATAATATATGCATCTTACCTTTATGTACATTTCATACATTTCATTGAAGAAATTTTTTATACCGTCTTCATTTTTACTGTCATGTACCATGACAAATCGAATATGAGTTGCAGTAACAAATGCACTCACGAACCATTGGTTAAATTTGTCTACAACTTTCAAATGCATATTTGTTGTTTTCCAAGTATGTTCGTCTACAAGATCTAGGGCAGCATGTGCAATAAATTGGTTTAAATGAGTATAATCTTCTTTCTGTTAAAAATTCAATGATGTAAATATAATATTGTTTTTAAATTATAAGTATATTTTCATACTGTTGTATACAATCAGCAAATAATTGTATCATACTACTTAAATATAACCTATAAAAATGATGAACCTTTGCATCTTTCCCAGAATTGTTGAATTCAATTTCAAATAGAGGATTGTCAGTATGCCCGACGATTGCGAAATAATAGTTAGCTGTCATCTTGTTGATTGACTTGATGTATTTCAATTAAGATTTTATTTCCATACATTAACACTTTTATACCAAATGTCACATGTATATATGACATTTATGTATGATGTACTAGTGATTACATAGGAAAAACTGTTCCGATTTTAATAGTAAACTTGGAAATAATATTATATATACATAAATTTCATTGTAGTACGAAAACTAAATTCGTATTTACCAATGATTATTTTTCAGTAACAAATATATTTAATGTAATATCTGTAGCATATTATATATTAATTATAAATTATATACTATACAACAATTGACTCAGGGGAAGTAAACACAACTGACCACGTGATATATGTACTCTAGCTATTGAGTTTTCCGTTGCTATCAGCTGATACCAGAGAGGAGTTTTCTCTTTGCTAATACTAATTTAATATACTAGATTATATAGTGTGTCCAATGAGACGAAACAATATCACACTTGAATTTCACTAGTCGGCAACCAGTAGATGCAGCTGCAACAATTAAATTTTGTTTATGTTTACTGTCTCGTCTCTTTGTATAGACTATACTAGAGAGGAAATTTCCTCTCTAAGTATACATACTAGTTAGAATTAGGCTGAATGCATACGAGCAACATGTTGTTGCACAATCCTGCTGCGATCACATGTCTTTCTTTGTTTTTCTATTGAGAACAATATTACAGTGAGATCATATTTGCGTGCATTTAGGCTTATGGTATTATAAAGATCAATATGTGAAAAACAGTATGTAAAGTTATTAGAGAAAGTATGAATTTTAAATTAATCAATCTGGAAAACTAGATATGAATAAACAATTATTAGGAGATTATTCTATATGTGAAAATAAATAAAAAATATAGGATCAAATTTTTTCATAAGACGCTTTGTTTTCGAGAAAAGTAAATTTGAAAATTTATTATGCACTTATATCAGGCCAATAATTACCTGTAAACACGTTTAAATTTTCTTGAAAACGAGGCTTGAAACAGAAAAATTTTATTTTACATTATTGACTTCTTTTTGCATATAGAATGATCTCCTGCTTATTATTTACTTACATCTGGTCTGAAATTATTCAAGTTTAAATATACTTAACAAATCTTTAAACTCGATTTTATCGGAAACGAAGCTTCATATGCAAAAACTTTATATTTTTAACTTATTTTTTCACGAGGAATCACCCCGTGCTCAGTTGTGCCGCTGTTGTTGGAACAGCCTGTATTTATAGTGATTTTAGAGTATCAAAAATTAATAAACAGGATATAATATCAGGTAAACTAATATACAGTAATTTTATTTATTTACTTATAAAGTAATTTAAGAAACTGTAGCCTAATCGCAATAAACAAATTTATATTAAATAAGAATTAAGTTATAGAAATGTTTAAAACTGTTAATTATCTTTCAATAATAATTTGCAAAATAATTTAGAGATTATGAACATTGTAACATTTTAGTAAAATTGCAAAACACTTTAGTCTAAAAATTCGTTTATACTAAACTTGTATTAAATTTAAGCAAAATAAATCATTATTAAGAAAACAATATGTTAATATTACATTGATAGTTTTATATTTATTTTCCATATTATTTAAAGATAGTCCCATTATCTTTTAATCTAATCTTAGCCAACATTCAAATTTATCTTTATGATTGTATTGAGAGTGATAGTGGAAGTAATGGTAACCTCTCATTTAAGAGACTCCTTTGGCAACCCTAGTATGAGGAGTAGGGAGTATTAAGTATAGTGTTCAAGAAAGATGAATAATTGATGTTAGATAATAACAATACAATTATTGTAAACATTTACCAAAACTCTCTAATAGTCGAATAGAATAACATAAGACAAAGTCCTTTTTATATTTGCAACTTAATATATTTAGAAAAAATATCATGTTGTAGATTCAGTATTTTATCTAAACACTTTACTCGATCTCTTTATTTATTTTATTTCTTTATTATTTATTATTATTTATATATTATTTATATATTATATATTATTTATTTATATATGATATTTATTTATTATTTTATTATTTTATTTGTCTTACTCTGAGGTTTTATATTAATCATGAGTTTTATCATGTTAAATAGCATTTAGGAAACTATTTAAGTATCTTTATGTAAGATCTCAAGTGTACAAAATAAAAGATCAATTTTAGTGTATATACTTAAGATAAGATAACATCTTATTTAAGTTACAAGGTAAGATAAGGTTAAACGATTTTTGAAAAGATTTACATAATTAGTGAGTTTATGATACTATATATTGAAGCAGAAATTATATACATTATGATACTGTCATTTTTGTTTTTCTGTATTTAATTTTATATATATGATAAAACTAGTCAAAAGAAATTTTTGTATTAAGGTAATTTATGTTAATTTAACATATAATATTAATTTATTCAAACATAACATATTTATTACTATGTATTATTTTCAGAAACAATGTAGATTGATACAAATACTAATGTAAGAAGATCAGAATTTTATTTAAGCAATTAAAGATTGTGATATAACATTGTTATATAAATAGGATATAGCAAATGATAGTGATCTATTTAAAGAATAAAAAATCATAAATATGGTCGGAGTAATTTTTGATTTTTACTCATATGTATAGAAATTCTCAGGTGTGTTGATTACTATAATATTTGTGTGATAATATTAAAATTCTTTACAAAAATTTGCATTGTGTAATTTACTTTGTTTCATTTAATTAATTGATTTTAAACTGTTTCAATTATATAGGTAATTAATCCTTTAATAAATAAGAATTTATTATAAGTTAGAAAAATCTATTTTATGTTGCAGAAATATGACATAACTAAACATGTATAATGTGTGTTTGATGTGCTGACAAATGGAAATAAAATTATGTTGACTACAATACTTTAACTGAATGATAAAGTAGCTTAATTGTATTATACATGTATCATGGTTCGGCAAAGATTTCCAAATATTAATGGTAAACTGATATTAAAAATGTATGATATTAACTAATATTATTAATTTAGCTTCCATTATACAATATCATTTATGTAACTCTCTCTGTAACTCTTTTTATTGTTTAAATATTATTTTATATGTAGGTGTTAGAAGTGGTAAGCATTTTGTATTAACTCTTGTTACGGGTATAATTTTTGGATTTATCTCAGCGTACCTTTTAATAACATCTACAAAAAATGTGCCATATATATTTAATTGGTTTTCTGGTGGTCTTATGCTTTCAAGAGATCCACACCATTATTCAGACTTGGAGTCAGAGGTAGTTGCTTTATATTTTGCTTCTTTTTAATCTTTTCATATTTAGTTTTTGATCTTATTAATAAATACTACAGATTGGGCCAGAGATAGAGGTAAAATTTCATGGTAAAGATGAAGATTTTCATAAAGATGAAGACAAAGTTGCGCAAGAACTTGCGAAGAAAGTACGTGTTCTTTGTTGGATCATGACTGGTCCAAAAAATCACCAAAGTAAAGCACAGCATGTGAAAGCAACATGGGGCAAACGTTGCAATATTCTTTTGTTTATGAGCTCTGCTGAAGGTAAATTATACTTTTGTAATACAACAATAAAAACAAAAAGAAACGATTTTTAACATGATACTGTAATGTATTGTATATTATATTGTAATTTAATATGTTTCCAGATGCAAATTTACCCACAATTGTTTTACCAGTAAAAGAAGGGAGAGATAACTTGTGGGCAAAAACCAAAGAAGCTTTCAAATATGCTTATGAAAAGTACAAAGATGAAGTTGATTGGTTTATGAAAGCTGATGATGATACGTACGTAGTTTATTGAAATTACAAATCTTAAGTTAGACATTTAGTTCAAATTTTGAAATGATTTATGTAAGATCTGGTTGAAATTATATTAAAATCGCAAAAGATTTATAGTATGGATTTTTAAAGTAACGTTTTAAAGTTACACAATCGCATTTAGTTATGTATATTAATTTGTTGAATGAAAAATTAATTGAGATTAAAACCTTTTCAGATATGTGGTGGTTGAAAATTTACGATATATGCTGTCATCTTATGATCAAAATTCGCCATTATATTTTGGCTGTAGATTTAAACCGTTTGTGAAACAAGGATATATGAGCGGTGGTGCAGGATATGTACTTAGCAAGGAAGGTTTACGTAAGTTTGTAGAGGAGGCTTTGCCTGATCAAACAAAATGTCGATCAGATAATGGAGGTGCAGAAGATGTGGAAATGGGAAAGTGTTTGGAAAAAGTAAATGTCAAAGCAATGGACACTCGGGATCCACATGGTCGCGGAAGATTCTTCCCTTTTGTACCAGAGCATCATTTAATTCCTAACCACGTAGATAAGAATTTCTGGTACTGGAAATATATTTATTATGATACCAAAGATGGCCTCAATTGTTGTTCTGATAGCGCAATTTCGTTTCACTATGTATCGCCCAATATGATGTATGTTCTCGAGTACTTAATTTACCACTTAAGACCGTATGGTATTACACACGGTGTGGAAAAACTTACTACAGATCAATCAACCACCATATCGACTAAATACTAGTCTACATATTATTCCTAATTGAAATATGAAAAGAATAATTCTGTTCTTTATAAATTTCCAAACGAACATTATCAAACTAGAAAAAAATATTTTGGATCTTAATAAATCAGGAAAAACTGAGATTTTGCAACATAAAAATTTTTTCCCACAAATTAATGGTTATGTTAAATATTCAAGATACATTTTTGTTCAATTATTTTAAATTTTGGAAATTCTAGGTATGACGCATTTAAATTTGTCATTAATTCAATCAAGTGATAATATTTTTCCCTTATTTTGTATGAGTATAACTAGTCTATTCGGGTCAACGAATTAGATGTTAATATATTCATTGAAAGATAAAATTTGTGATATATATATAAAATGTTTCGTAATATATATAATGTTTATACATACCTATATGTAACGATGAGAAATTTATAATTTCATCGCAAGTGCAAGACAGGGTGTACTCTGTTCTACAAATAAATGTTACAAGCACATTAGAAATATTGTTAATTATTAACATTATCAATTATTGGTATTTTTTATTATTTAGTCTTGATAATATCGCTGTACACATATGAATTTATACAAGAAAATCTAGCGTAATTTCAACCAAATATATAATTAGCTGATGAAATGATGTTTTATTCTTCTATTGTGATTAGTTATTTTTTACGAGTAATGAATTTTATATTATTTCGAACTCTCCAATATTTTTCATAAGCATTTAAAAAAAAATGGGAGAATTATTCTATAATGATTTAATAATTCGTCATCGATGTCACCAATTTACAGTAATTTACATGAACCTCTTTCTTGTACATATCGAGAATGTGACTACCAGAAAAATGATGCACAGTGAATTTTAAACTAGTGGTAAATTTTACAGAAATGAAAATGTTAGTCTGTTTCTACTATGCTTGCAACATCAAAACTGTAAGACATACATACACTTCATGTGAAATGAGGTATATAATTATATATACACATAAAACTGTATTTCGTAATATTAATATAATAATGGTAATAATAATAATAATAATTAATAATAATAATCCCAATAATGATGTTCTACCCAGATAATAAATACTATAGATACAGTGTGAGTGTGGTGTGTGAGTAAATTAACCAATTAACTTTATAGGGGGGAGAGGATTAGGGATTGCTATGTACAAGTCATATTTGTACTATGCGACTGACGCAATTAGCCATCATCGGCTTTCATTCAGACGCGCCCTGTATTCTCTTCTCTTGTCTTTTTATTTTTCCTTATATACTTTTTCATCCCGCGCGCTCATTTGTTTGTATGTGAAATCATCTGTTTCCTAAATTATAGAGAACAAACCTCTCTGTGCTCTTCTCTCATTCTCATTTACTCTCTCGCGCTCTTTTCGCTCATTCTCAATTATCTAATATCTCGGCGATGTCTCTCACTTCATAAATTATTTAAAAACAATATTTTACACTATTAATGTATGTATAATATATAAAGGTCACCTAATTTGAATAAAATTTGTCAAACAGCATCGAAAAATTGCGCTAATGGGTCCAGGAAACATGATAACAGAGACCCAGTGCCGCGCGAGCATAATATAATATAATATGCAATTATCTCACACCAGGGGCTTGTACGAGGCATTTTTACTTGTAAAAAAGAAGTATATCGCCTCTCTTTTTCTGTTCTTCTTTTTTCATTTACATCATCTATATAAAATTAAAAAACAACGTAATATTATTTATATTACTTCGTCGTTATTAATAATAAAAGCTTTGTACAAAATTCAATTTACAATTAAAAACATTTTGGTTATGTAATTTTCTAGAGATTCTGATTTGTAATTGAACTATCTACCGACAGAGAGGCAATTGTAAGTTAATTTCTTATAGCGCGTTTTCTTTTGTTTCTCCTTTTCTTTCCGTTTATACGCGCGCATTCGTTCTTTCTCTTTTTCCTCTCTCTCACATGCTCTCTTTTATTCACTTTCTTTCGTTCTCGCACATGTTCATTCGTTCTATCAATCTCTCGCACATACAATTTTACTTCCCATTCATCAGATTCCATTTGGTATGCGGCAATGTACGGTCATCAATAATAGTATCTCGTGTTATCTTATTTTTTGTTTTTCGGAAAACACAAAATACGATCTATTTACCTTTTTTTTCGCCTGACGAATTACACGAATAGAAAAACGTTAAAAAGAATTACTGTGCATCGATAATCATCAAGTTTACGCTACGATCGCGGCGTATTATCGTATTAATTTAAAAAAGAATCGAGTAAAAAAAGTCAGTATTTCGCATTGGAGGTTTATCGATTAATATTTGAAGGATCGTTTTTTCCCAGTTATCCAGGAAATCTTAAAGTCTCTAACAAACAGTTGAAGACGGACGTAGGAAACCAGTTGCTCTCGTAAAGCCCCAAGTGGCGGTATGGTAAAGGAGTGCATGAAAGAGGTGCACATACTGCACTACGAAAGGAGAAGGTGTGGGTCAGACGAGAGCTGCCGCTGCATGGTAGAGTTGCATGAGCGCTTGTACGTGCACTGGTAAGCAGGATAAACGATCCTTCGTGTTCGCATCCACTGCAAGCCATGATAGTGCATTGTATCCCTCCAGCACATATCTGAAATATATTAATAATAATAATTAATAAAATGATAGATTTTGATATTTATAAATGAATTATATTGAATTATAGTAATTAAATTAAAAATTAAAATATGCGGTCAATGAAAGCAACAATATAAACCTGAGCACATCGGTGGTATACTGTGAATCTAATGGATGAGCAGTGAGTGCACTTTGTTGTTGCAATAGATCATCGCTATTCTGCTGTATTGCTGGACTATGCAAATGTAAGGCATTTTTCAAGAACACTGGGCAAACACCCTCTAAATGGGGACAGGCTGACCAAAACCATGGTGGCATTCGTCCAGTTGGTGCAGTAGACACTAAGTAACCAAGAGCAAGTGGTTGCTGCAATAAAGTTCCAACTTCTTCTGCTTGTTCAGCAACTGCTACCTATCAATTATAAATTTTACAGTTAACTAACCGTTTACAGACAGATAATATGTATAAATATGTCGGGTGTACATTAGAATTAGGGTTAGGGGCGTAAAGCGAATCTTCGTTTGGATTACACGTCGTCGTTATGCAATAGAGAAGACATTGGCTAGTGCAAATACGATTACCATAGAACCGGACAAGTAACCGTGGTAATTAGATACTCGAGAGACTAATGACAATGATCCTAGGTTTAATAACGAATCCGCGGACAACGGGACGGTAGTCGTACGCACTCGTAAAATCTAAGTCGGATTCTGTGTTAATATTCGCTGACCGTAAGGAGTTAATCCTTTTTTGTCGATGAGACCGCAAGAGAGAATGACTTTCCGTCCCGG